GTACTTTGGAGACAGAACCTATATACAGATAGCAGTACAGTATATAGCTTTTGTTACCCTTGGTAGCTACTCGAAATATGTGGTCACGGAACCCCTACATTTCCTCTACAGGTGGTCACAAAGAGCTTCAGTGCTGCTTGTCACAAGTCCAAACACTGGCTGAGGCAACCTCTCAGTTTTCCCAGTGCCAAGCTCAGGACAAGATTTGTATTGTGCTTCTACTGTGCTTCTAGGGCACTTAGGGCTCTTCTACATTGAGCATTTGTTCCCTGTAAAATACCTGCTTTGTTACCAAGGATATCAGTATTTTCCCTAACACCCAAACAATGTAAGTCTGTATTATCTCTGTATTTGCATGACTAAATCTATGGCTTTTAAGTCTCCTCCTGACAGTATGGTTTGTTCAGATTGTTCCGAGCTGGGTAGGTGTGCATTTAGCGCTATGGTGCTTCTCATTCACTTTTGCGGTTATAGCTTACTGTTTTGATGCTTGTCATTTGCAATCACTTTGCATAGGAAATACATACCTAAGCTCCAGGAGACATCTGGCAAGGGCTGATTTCTCACTTTTTTAAAAAAAGGGTTTTTAGATATTAATAGGACAGAAGAATTTTTCTGAGAGGTTTTATTTTTACAGGTGCTGTTTGGATGGGAATCCCAGTGAGCCCTGTGCTCCTTTGGGATAAAATAAGAGTCAAACCAGGAGAAGGGTGTTTGTGTATTTTCCCCTTGGAGAGCCATCAGAGTTTCTCAAAAGCACGCCCTGGTGCTACTGAGATAGTATGAGTATAGGATCATCCTTGCCCTTGCACTGCATTTGGAAGGCACATTAGAAATTAGGAGGAGGGCTGTAGCTCAGCATTTTCACCAGAAGGAAGGGGCACTTCCTGTGGTAAGTGGAGTTCATCAGATTTGTCAAACCCTTCTAGCAGCCGTTCTGGAGCTACCACATCACAGCACCTACCAGGCAACAACATGTGTTGTATGAATGGGCTCTGAAGTGTGTTGAACTAAATGTTTTTCCCCAGACATTGTAAGGCACTTTAGTAGTTTTAAATCTTTGCAGTCATAACTTCCTGATGATTTTTAGTTTGGTTTGAGGCACTGAAATGTTTGTTTACCAGCATTGTATACCACCCAGAGAACTTTGGTTAGTGAGCAGTTCAGAATTACAATGAATGAATGAATATATGGATACTATTACCTAGTCTAGAATGTTCCATTTTTGGACAAGAGGTTGGAGTGTGTTGTGGCTTCTTACCTTCAGGGGTTCCTTGATGAGACCGATGGACTAGAATGGATGGATGGATGGATGGATGGATGGATGGATGGATGGATGGATACTATTACCTAGTCTCGAATGTTCCATTTTTGGACAAGAGGTTGGAGTGTGTTGTGGCTTCTTACCTCCAGGGGTTCCTTGATGAGACAGATGGTCTAGATTCATTTCATTACAGCTCCAGCCTTAATCATCAGATAGAGAAAGCTTTGGTCATTTTGGAGGATGACCTACAGGGAAATTGGACAGGGGAGTGCATCCCTGTTTATGTTACTAGATATCTGAGTGGCTTTTGATACCATCGACAATGTATCCTGTCTGAGTCATTTTTCTGGGATGGGACTTGAAGGCACTGTTTTATAGTGGCTTTGGCCCTTCCTGAAAATGTGATCTCAGAAGGTAATGCTGGGACACTCCTGCGTCATACCCTGGCCATTACCCTCAGGGCGCTGCCTCCCCACCCCCACCCCCGTACTGTTTAACATAAACATGAAACTGGTGGGAGAGGGTTTGGAGTTTTGGAGTTCGGTGTCACCAGTCTGCAGATTATACTTAGCTCTATTTCTCCTTTCTGAGTGAGCTGTTCCTGTTCTAAATCATATCAAACAAAAACCACAACAAAAGACAAGAGACAAGAATGGTGTGGCACCTTACCTCTGTATTTTAATATGACATTTTGTGTATCAAGTCAATTTTCACAGATATTATAGGGATTCAGTCTGTGCTCGATGAGGCTAAACTCCCCCTGACAACTCAGGCTTGCAGTCGAAATGTGCCCCTGGACTTATCAACTGAGCCAGGATGCTCTGTTATTTTCCAAGGTCTACTCTCAGTGACCTATTTACATGGAAGTAGCTGGAAATACACACACATGCATTCACACATGCATGCATAGACACACACACACACATGCTAATAACAGTAAATATAAAAATAAATTATTAAATGGGAATGAATATGATTTTTACACACAAGAGCACACAGTCACTCCTACCATTTACTAGAGACATATACAGCTGGTATATGTTGTATACAACTAACTTCATTGAATACCTTTTAACGAGGGACATGTTCTGCTCTGTTAAAAAAATCAGTAGGAGTGAAGAAACCTATTAAATACTGTGAAATGAGGAAAGGAAAAAATTATTTTCTTAACCAACAGTGTAGTACTGTATAGTCCATTTCCTCCTGTGGTAAACCAGAGTAAAATGTATTGCATTCTTGGAAAATATTGAATGAGCTCACCAGCGTAGAGCCATGGCTCCTAAAACATACTCGAGGGATGAATCAATTTTTCATGAAAGTCCAGAGGAAAACTCCCATTCATATGGCTAAATATATATATCTTAGTTTAATTTAATCGCCTTGGACCCTTCAATGTATTTTGGCACTAAAATTGTTTTTACTATGTCGCTAAGTTGCCTTGTACCTAAACAATGGCTTTTGGATTCCACCTTTTCCCAGTTGGATGTGCTTGCTAATGGAGTTTAGTTCAGACTGTAATCTGGATTATGAAATTTAAATTAATAGATACTGAAATCATTTAAACAAGTGTGGAAAGCCCCACATCACACACACAAAAAACCCAACAACCGTGACACCATTTTCAGTTTCTTAATATTGGAATTCATAATGAAGGAACAGTAGTTTTTTTTCATCATTATAGTATGTTGTATATGACAATTCTTGTTACATATTCCTCCTTTTCTTCTATAAGACATGTGTGCGTCCTCCATTATGCAAACACATAAAAAATTGGAATGCAGCAGCAGCGCCTTAGAATGATAGTCTGTATGTCCAAAATTCATACAGCTGGCTCCTGATGACTGAGTTCCTTATACATTCCCATTTTAAGGTCAACAGAGTTAAGTGGTAGGACCGATATGTAGAAAAAAAGCACTGTCAGAAAACCAAAACTACGCCTAAAATAATGCAACGGGAAAATAAATAAAGCACAAATTAATCTAACACATATGGATGTGCTGGAGGAACAATAGTTTGACCTACATTCACAGGGTGATTTCACAGAAGATGCAGGGAGTCATTGGCAGAGACTTTTGGGGATGTGTGGGAGGAAAAATCTCCTGAGTGGAAGAAATAGTGGTTTTTCATCCAGAGGATGGATCTTGGATAACCGTAGACTAGTTAAGCTCTCTGGCTGATAGCTGGTGTCAGTGGTCCCCAACCTTGGGCCTCCAGATGTTCTTGGACTTCAACTCCCAGAAATCCTGGCCAGCAGAGGTGGTGATGAAGGCTTCTGGGAGTTGTAGAACATCTGGAGGCCCAAGGTTGGGGACCATTGGTTAGACAACACAGGCTCCTTTGTACAGTTATGACGTGAGTGACTTGTAGTCAAGCTATAGCCACAAGCAAATAAAAAACTATTTATTTATTCCAACTATTTGTTTATTGCTTTTTGCTTACCAGTACTCCCTTTAGTTATATACGTTAGACAGATTAAAATAATTAAAAACAGATTTAAAATGTTATTCTAAAAACAGGTTGAAACATCTTTATAAACAGATTCGAAATATTTCCTAGATGCCAGTTTTAAAAGCAACCTTAAAAACCAACAGCCTTTCCATACGACACAGTTTTGGCTGCCGGGTGGGAATCCAGCAGGGCTGGAGCTTTGGGAAGATGTTCCATAACCAAGGTGCTGCTACAAAGAAAGCCCTGTTTTATGTACTCATAATCTAGTCTCTTGGGCTGGTAGCACACACAACAAAGCTCCATTGAGTATCTCAAATTCCTCCAGGCAGATATAGGATGAAATATTTTTTTTCAGATATCTTGCTCACACAGAAAACCATAGTTTTCTATCCTAAAGTGATACATTCAGTCAACATATCATCATGGCCACGTTGTGCTCTGCATAAAGCTATATGTAAATTGCTCAGGATTTCCAGTTGTATGAAATCTTGGAAACATACAGATCACAAAGGCTTTCCTGCTACTGAAGTTTGTGTTGTTTGTGTTGATGCCAGGAGGACCTAGTCAGTGCATCCTTGTTTACATGTACATAGAACATAGTCTCCGAAGAGGGCTTACTCATGCGTCACCACTTATTTCTGTGGCTGGAGTTCTCCATGTGTGCTGTGGAGTGTGTTTGTTTGTGTTGATGGAATCATCTCTAATAATAAAGCCATTGTGCTATTCTGCAACATATATAAAGAACTTGGGCAGCAAGGAAATCAGTTGTTTAAAGCTGGAGCTGCTGCAAATATGTTAGTTTTTCTAGAAATAACATCATTAACATCCTTTACAGTGAAATGCTGGAACAAATTTCATTCGCTCATCAGTTTTGATTGTGGGAACACTAAAGCAGTGCTTTAGGCCAATTATCAACCCATCAAATTTTCCTTTCAATGTTATGACACTCTGGGGAGGTGGGGGAGGTATCGGCAAGCCTCTTGTCCAATGTTCAAGTGTTATAATTTAAACCTTATTAAAATCCAAATTCATTTTCTAGGAATTCACACATGCACACACAATTTGTGTAAGTCATCTATACAATCCTTCCCCTCACCTTAGTTTTTTTTTTAAAGGGGGCTTTGTTACTTAGGATGTTGGCTTCTAAAATCATTGCAGTTCCTAATACTTGAATCAAATGGTGGCCAACATGCAAAATTGAAGCAATCACGGTTGTGATGCTAATATCTATTGGATATGTTTTTCTGTCATAGGACCTTATATTCAATATATTCCTGTCTTTTTTCAGAGGTGTGGAGAAATCTCATTTGATAGCCCAGAGCAGACTGCCAAATGTGTTCGCATGCTAGGTAAGTACAGTCCCTTCTCTTAATCTGAGTTTTGGTATGTGCAGAAATATGTACTGTTTTAATGAGGTGTTCCTTTTCAAAGAGTATCTGAATTTTAGTAAGGTTGGTTGGTAGTCATAATTCTTCTGAATGTGTAGTTGGCTCTGGTACAACTGGTGTGAATATGGAATGCATATGATCAGTAATTGGTTATAGGTAAAGGTTCCCCTTGACATTTTTAGTCCAGTCGTGTCCGACTCGAGGGGGCGGTGCTCATCCCGTTTTCAAGCCGTAGAGCCAGCGCTTGTCCGAAGACAGTTTTCATTGTCACGTGGCCAGCGTGACTAGGGAATGCCGTTTTACCTCCCTACCGAGGTGGTACCTATTTATCTACTCGCATTTGCAAGTTTTCGAACAGCTAGGTTGGCGAGGAGCTGGGACAAAGCGATGGGAGCTCACTCCGTCGTATGTATTCAATTGTATGACTGCTGGTTTTCTGACCCTGCAGCACAGAGGCTTCTGCGGTTTAGCCCACAGCGCCACCATGTCCCATATAATTATAACCCAATTGGTTATAATGGATCCTTAATTCACTAGTGGAAAGCTGACAAAATGATTTCTGACTGTTCATTATGAAGTTCAAATGTAGATTGTTGTGGCAGAGCCGTAACTAGAAATGCATGATTAATTCTTTTGTATCTAAGGACATTAAAAAGTTTAGGTTCTTAAATTAATTTAATAATTTATTTTAATGCTCTTCTTATTCTTTTTTTAAATTGCCATGTGCCCAAAGTGGCTTCATTGCAAACCCTAGTGTGTGCTGATTTATCTAATAAATAAAGTACAGTTCCATTAATTTAGTACATGCTGTGGGAGAGTGGGGAGGCCACCTTTGTGACAACAGAGTTCCAAGACTAGGTGAGAATTATGAAAGTTTTTTCAGGTTTCTCCAAGATTTCCAAGTATTCTAGGAGTAATTCTTGGAAATCTAGCAGAACCCGCCCGGCGCCCTGGTTTAACCAGGAGCTTCGAGCGATGAAGCGAATAAGGAGAAGGCTAGAGCGTAGATGGAGGAAGAACCCAACGGATCATCATTGGATAGCTGTTAAGGTCGCAACTAACCTTTACCTGAATAAGGTAAAGGCTGCATGTCGATCATTCTTCACTAACCAGATGAGCAAAGCATCCAACCAGCAGGCGGAATTATTCCGTATAGTGTGCAACCTATCCGGAACTGGTTCAGGTGATAGGCCTCCCCCTAGTTTTTCACCTGACCAGTTTGCAGCCTTTTTAAAATCTAAAGTGGAGGCCATCCACCGGGAGCTCTCTCCTTTTTAAAATACAGTGAATCCTTCTTGGAGGACCGTCCCCAGAGAGTACAGCTTGGGGAGAGTGTCTCGGCCCTGTGGAGTCTCAACTGTGGGGTTCCACAGGGGTCAGTTATCTCCCCAATGCTGTTTAACCTCTATATGAGGCCGCTGGGTGGGGTCATCAGGGGATGTGGGGCTTCGTGTCACCAGTATGCGGACGACACGCAGCTCTACATCTCCTTTTCACCAACTGCAGGTGATGCCGTCCTG